TTCTGGATGTGTCATGTAAGTGGAGTCATATACGGTCTTTTGTGGTCTGGCTTCTTTAACCTGGCATAATGTTTCCAAGTTTCCCATGCTGTAGCGTATCATTCATTACTTTTCTTTTTCTTTTTTTTCTTTTTGGAGAGGTTTTTGCTATAGGGCACGTGTGCTCGCCAGAAAGACAGAGAGAGACAGAGAGACAGAAAGTGAGAAATCACCCCCCAGGGGGGATGGCCACGCTGCAATCCCTTCTCTTCCATTCTCCTTTCCGTATCATGAGCACGCATGCATGCACACACACCCAACATGAGTTTAAGTCACCGGGTCCAGGACTTGAACCGTGGTCGACTACATGGGAGTCCAGCGACATAGCCATTACGCTAACTTCTGGTCCCTCATTATTTTTCATTATGGAATAATATGGCATTGTATGGATTTACCACGTTTTGTTTATCCATTCATCAGCTGACTGAAAACTGGTATAACTGCCCTGGATTTACATAGTTGGATCAAAGCAGAGTGAGGCGTTGGGTGTCCAACTTTCAGCCTAGTCCTGTTGTTACTATCCTGCACTGTAGGGTGGTAGGAGATGCTCATAATAGCTGAACATCTGGACTGTGTTAAATAGTAATGGTTTGCCCAAAGAAACCATACAAGAATGTAACTGTGTACCTGCAAGGCTAGAAGCCACCTGGCCAACCTTGGGTTCAAGTTCCCAGGTGAGCCTGAAAGCACTCTGAGTACATGTATGAACACCAGGATCCTGAGGAACTGGAGGGCTGGGGCAAGGGATGAGAGTCTGATGAGACATTGTCAAGGGTGTTTCTCATGCATGCACTGTATGTCAGAAAGAGAGAGAGAGGAGGAGGAGGAGGGAGGAAGAGAGAAAGGAAAGAAGAAAGAGTGGAAGGACATAGAGAAAGAGAAACCAACCTTACACCCTAGCTACCTACTCCTGGAATTTTCTACCTTTACAATCATCTTTCCAACATGGAAAGGGGATTGTACACAGATCCTATGCAGAGTGCCCCTCCTCTCTCTTTGTCTCTCTCTCATACACTCTATCATGAATTTTTTAAAAATAATAATTTTTCAGTATAAAGGAAAAAATACATAATTCAAAGAAATAAAATTTAAATAAAACTTGTGCTGACAACCAGGTTTAAGTTTCATTTTCTAGATTCCAGTGGATGGTGTTCATGCCTCCTCGTCCCACAGTATTTCACAGAATGACATGAGGTCTAAATTGTATCTACCCTTTTTTCTTTGGTGGGGGGGAATGTGGGTAGAAGCTCAAAGTCAAAGAAGGTTTTTTGGTTGGTTGGTTGTTTGTTTTCTCTTTTTTGGAGAGGTGTTTGCTATAGGGCGCGTGCACTCACCAGAGAGACAGAAAGTGAGAAATCACCCCTCAGGGGGAATGGCCATGCCACAATCTCTTCTCCTCCATTCTCCTCTCTGGATCTTGGGCACGCACGCACACGCGCCCAGCATGAGTTTAAGCCACCGGGTCCAGGACTCAAACCGCGGTCGACTACATGAGAGTCCAGCGACATAGCCATTATGCTAACTGCTGGTCCCCAAAGAAGGTTTTTATAGGTTGAGTATACCTTATCTAAAATGCCAAAAGAATATTTTGGATTTTCTTTTATTTATTTTTTTTAAGATTTTGGAATATTAGCACATATATAGTGACAGCTTGGAGATGGAACCCCAATTTCTTTTAATTAATTTATTATTTCAAAAAATTATTTTATAAATTATACATTGCTCACCTTGTAAGTTGTATTTACCCCACATGAATATACATTTCAGTCCAGTTGAGGATACAACACACATTATCATCAACAGGTAATAATCTATTTCTGTGACCCATAAATGTCTTGCCTCTCTATATTCCTCAATTTCTTTCCTTACACTCTCCCACTTCTTCCACCCTCTTCCTAACACTGTCTCCATTTTAAACGTGAGATTTATTTATACTTTATATACACCTATACATATACATATAACATAGAAGGTAATTGTATATAATATTTTAAATAATGAAAATCTTTGTGGACATCCTTGCTTAGGGGAATGTAGGCATGCCTAAAAGGATACACCACAGCTAAAGGGGATGGAGAGAGTGTTTTTTCCCTGCAGGATGCTGAATAAACCATGTACCATGAGCCTGTGTTCTGATCATGACCCATCACATGAGGTGGGATTTTCCACAGTGGCATCAGGTTGGAGCTAAAAACAGTTTTGAATTTTGTAAAATTTGGTATTTTATATTTTTGGATGAGGGATGCTCAACCTAAAGTAGGTTTGGTTGTTTTTTGAGTATTTTCTTTCTAGCTGGCTTTACTCCATGGCAAAAATGTATAATTATTCTCTTCTTTGGTTAGACATCACTGTCACTGCATTAGCCTGACCGTAAGGTATGGGGAATATAGGCCTTTGGTTCAGGATTTAGTATTTCAAACACAGCTGCTCACATCTCCCTCTCCCTGCCAGTGCCTGGTACCCAAGTCAAAGCTTATCATGAGAAGAGAGACTTTTATGATTTGGTTTCTTTCCCACCTACTGACTGCCCTGGCTCTCAAGTCTGATGTTCCCCAGTGATGAGATCATAGAAGCCTCTGTTTGCCTGCAGGCCTCACTTATTCAGAGGTAACATTGCACCTGGAGGGAGAACAACTGGCTTGGTATATGTGGAAAGATTCTGTTTTTCACTTAAAGAAGTCGTAGGCAACGTAGCCCCTGGCCTTCTCTTTGTGTGCATATGATGACAGGAAGCAGGTCAATCTGTGAAAGATTTTTGAATTTTGTAAAATTTGGTATTTTACATTTTTGGATGAGGGATGCTCAACCTAAAGTAGGTTTGGTTGTTTTTTGAGTATTTTCTTTCTAGCTGACTTTACTCCATGGCAAAATGTATAATTATTCTCTTCTTTGGTTAGACATCACTGTCACTGCATTAGCCTGACCGTAAGGTATGGGGAATATAGGCCTTTGGTTCAGGATTTAGTATTTCAAACACAGCTGCTCACATCTCCCTCTCCCTGCCAGTGCCTGGTACCCAAGTCAAAGCTTATCATGAGAAGAGAGACTTTTATGATTTGGTTTCTTTCCCACCTACTGACTGCCCTGGCTCTCAAGTCTGATGTTCCCCAGTGATGAGATCATAGAAGCCTCTGTTTGCCTGCAGGCCTCACTTATTCAGAGGTAACATTGCACCTGGAGGGAGAACAACTGGCTTGGTATATGTGGAAAGATTCTGTTTTTCACTTAAAGAAGTCGTAGGCAACGTAGCCCCTGGCCTTCTCTTTGTGTGCATATGATGACAGGAAGCAGGTCAATCTGTGAAAGATTTGATTGTTGATCCCCTTTGCTTGGGAACCAGTGAAGCGTAGAATGGGCACAAGGCCAGTGTGAAGGCATTTCCCTAGGTTCATCAGGCATTTGTGTTTCTTTATCATAGTTGGCATGAGTAGAGGGGTCCAGCCCAGTCTGGTTTCCTGACTGTTTTCTTCGCTAAAGCTTTAATCATCAGGACCTGAATACCACTAATTATTCACTTCATTTGATGTTCTATTTTCTCGTTATTAAGATCTAGAGCAGTTACTGGGCGTCATGCGTCACATACATTATCTCATTGTTTCCTTCTTACAAATATTTGCCAGCCCTCGAATATATGAAAAACAGCAACAACAACCCGACCCTGCCCTGTGTCTTCTCCATGCTGAGTGTCCCTTCCTATTCTTGGATGACACAGTAGCCAACAGTTCCGTTTGCCCTGGTCACCCTATGTCTATGTGTTTTCTATTTGGTCAGTGCCGTTCTTAATGATTCTTGTGCTGGAAATGACTCCACACATACTGTCAACAGCTCTGACAAGGACCCTCACCAGGAAAGGAACCTGATATCATTTAGCGCAGCATACACTTGCCAGCACTTATTCCGCAGTTGCATCTTGATAGTGGCCAACATCCCACCACCCCCTACTCCGTGTCTTTTTTCAGTTGAACCTCTGTAAGACAGAGGTTCCTGTTGTGCAGTTGATTTGTTTATCCTAAGAGCAGAACTTCACATTTCTCCCAGTCCACATTATCCGATCTTTATTTACCCTGGGGACTTGTGGCATTACATCAGAAACGTGGATGGGAGTCTGGCATAATTTTGAGGGAATGGAGAGAAATGATTATTGCTCTTCCTAATGATAGGTTAGGATTGGCTTTGTTAATTGAAGAGTCCTTTTCTGATTCCCAACCCTAGGGTGCTTCATTAGTAATTTCTAGTTCATAGTATTTTTTTATTCATTTGGGGAAGAAGGAGAGTTAGTTATTTTCAGCATCAATGATTATATAAATTGAAAGAATGAATTGAATACTTAGCCTCTTTAGGAAGCTTAATACCTCAATCTGTCAGCCAGATTTTTTTTTTAATGAATTCATTTATCTGTTCCCTGAGTGAAAGTGAGAGAGAGACTGACCAACAGAGAGAGAGAGAGAGACACCCCAACAGGTTCTTCATGCCCCCATCTACCCCAGTTTCAGCTGGCTCAGATCACGGGCATGTGTTTATACTCAGGTCTTAGGATATGAACCCAGGTACTTTCACATGTGGATCCAGTTGTATTTCCACTGCACCACTATCTAACTCTGTCAGCTCAATTTTTAATCACTTAGGTCCTGTGTGGACCATTGAATACATATACCTGCTATAATATTCAGGAGGGTGTTGGGGGGAGGGCGTTAAGTTCATTCATTTATTTATATCATGAGAGAGAGATACAGAGAGAAAAAAGCACCTTACACCAGGGTTTTCATGCCACAATCTATTCCCAGCCAGCCAGAGTCATGGGTATGAGCAGGCCCTGCATGTACAGGGAGGCCACAGGATGCAAACATGGACCTTACCATGTGGTTTCTGGATTGTAGAAAGTGGTGTGTCCACTAGGATGCTGCAGCTGGCCTTAGTGAGGATGTTTGAGGTTCTAACCGGCACCTCTCTGTTTGTTGCAGTTACCTGGCTGAGCAGTGTTGGAATGGCGGCTTTATCTACCTGATCATGCTGCGTCGCTTTAAGCACAAAGCCCATTCTACTTATAATGGCAACAGTAGCAACAGCTCGGAACCCGGAGAGACGCCCACCTTGGAGCCAAGTGACCGAACTGCGAAAAAGGGGAAAAGAACAAGAAAGTTTGGGGTCATTTCCAGGCCTTCTCCCAACAGAGTCACTGAAGAGTCCAAGGGCAGTGCTGGCTGTGAGCTGAATAATGACCCCAGCTCTGAGCTGGAGAATGGCCCAGACCCTGAACTTGGAAATGGCCATGCCTCAGAGCTCGAAAATGGCCCAGATTCTCTCAAGGAGACAGGACCTCATGTAGAGAGGTCAGAAGTGGACAGAGGGACAGAGCATAAAATTCCAAAGACTGATGCTGCTCTGACCACAAGTAATGACAAACACCGCTTTTCAAAAGCTGGAAAGACTGACTTCCAGTCAAGTGACTGCCTTGCACGGGTAAGGTTTGGTTCCATTGTAGAACCGGAGATTTTAAAGAACCATTGTTTGAAGTTGTCTTTAAGGTTTAGAAAATATATCTAAGATGAGCCTGCATTTAGAAGCCAACACATTCTTTAAGGCAGATGATCAGAGAATATGACAACAACAACAGAGTTCAAGTTATTTTATCCTACTTAAATAAAGAGCTTCTCAGGGGATTGTAAGTGGAAAATTCAAGCCTTTGGTGGTAAAATTTGAGACTCATGTGAGACACAGATAAAATACTTGAGCTACATCATTATTTATCACCGCTGTCACCAGTGGAATTGCTACTTCAAGGCCAAGAATTCCTGGTGGCAGTTGATAGCACAAACATCCAAGCTCCAGTATTACCCAGGAAGAGTATTCAACATACAGGGAAGCATCTGCTTTTATTTTTAATTCAAAACTAGTGACATTTTTATGGGATCATGTTATTACATTAATGAATTCCAGTGAAGTTTAGAAGCATCAGAGACATCTCTGATGCTAGGATAACCAGCTGTGATGGTCAAGGTCAGTCTTACCCAAAAGCAAAGCAGATGTAGTATATTCTGAATGGTAATTGGTGAGCTTGTAGTCTCAAACCATTTTTCCCCAGTATAACCAACATTTTCTCATATCAGAGTTATGTTTCTTTAGAGTAAATATGTTCATTCCAAGAATCCTCTTGGCAGATAGTCCCATGGCTCCTCTGGAAGCAATGACTTCCCAGGTAGGGATGACTTGTTCATTATCCCATTTGGGAGACACCCTCTGGGGATGAAAGAAATAGTGGATAAGATGGAAAATGGGATTGGAAGTATCTAGTCAGCTTTGCATGCTGAGAAATGGTACCCTGGGAGTGGATACGGTCTCTAATAAGGCTCTTTCATGCACATCTCTGCGATTGTGGCCCATCTATGTGATGGGTTGAGAAGAATTCAGATAACCCCTTGCTCAAAAGATCATGTACTTTACTTGAGGGACTGGGAGATCGTCATAAAAACTTATTCAGAGGAGGCATTATTTATAGGTGGAATTTATAAACTAATGAGAAAAAAAGTTGGTGTCTCTAGCAACAGAATCCTACCAATTGTATGGAGCCTTGCAAAAAGGATTAAGGACAAAAAGATTATAATGAACACTCCCCAAATTAAGGTCACTAAAAATATTGGGATCAGCAGATGACATAATGGTTATATCACTAGACTCCCACATAGTCAATCATGGTTTGAGTCCCAGACCTGGCTTAAAATTCACACCAGGTGCATGTGCAGGCATGCCCAAAATCCCAAGAGGAGAAGGGATTATAGTGTGGCCATCCACCCTGGGCGGGGAGGGGGTGGTGGTGATTTCTTGCTTTCTGTTTCTCTGTCTCTCCAGTGAGCTCACTCATCCTATAGCAAAATCTCTCTTTAAATAAAAAAATTGTAATGTGCATGATTGTGCATAGTGACCACTCCATAAAACTTTTTTCCCCAAGTACTAGATTGTGAGTACACAGAAAGCCTAACATAAAAAAAAGTGTGGGAGTATTTGGTTCTTTTCATGATATTGAAGGTTTAAGGTACCAGAGGCTGTTGAATTTCACATACAGTCCAAGAACAGGCTTTCTTTTGGCCTAGGATTCAGTGAAAGTAATTTACAATGGCTTTAAAAGGGGGACGGGGTAAATAACACCAAACTTTCAAGAAGAGTACCTATCTTCTCATCTGAATTAAAAACAGTAACATAAAATTAAATTTCCAGAGCCTGACCTTGTAGTTTGAGTCCTGGACCCAGTAGCTTGAGAAACATGCCAAGTGCATGTACATGTGCGCCCAGAATCCTGAAAGGAGATAGAAATGGAAAAGAAGGATTATGCGATGACCATGCCCATTGGGGGGAGTGGGGGCGGTGCTTTCTCCTCTCAATCAATCACTCTTTCTCTCTCTCCCCTCTTCCCTCCCTTCCTCCCTCCCTTCAGTGACCACACTGAAAAAAAAAAAAAATACTTGGGTTTCTTGATTAGATTTACACGTATCACAGTTCCTTTGCTTGCTGTGTATCCTCAAGGGCAAATGTCCAAGAAGGTATAAATGAAAAGGGAGTTGGGGGAACCTTGAATTGGGCCAGCCAGTGGTGTGGTGGTTAAGGCAACTGGATTCTACATGGCCAATTGAGCAGTTCAAATCCAGAACCCAGCAACTTAAGAAATAAAAAACAAACATGCCAAGCACATGTATATGTGTGCCCCAAATCCCAAAAGGATAGCGGAGAAGGATTGTCGCATTGCCAGACCTCCATGGGGATGCTTTCTTACCTATTCTACTATCTCGCATATGTGTGAGTGCATGCACCCTATAACAGGACAAAACACACACACACACACACACACACACACACACACACAAAGCCTTGAATGCTTGCCTTGAGGGTACCCACAACCCACAAAGCCACATGCATATAGAAAAGAGAGACTTGACATCTAGAATTTACATTTTTCATAACTGCCCAAAATTCATAAACTGCTTATTGGCCTTGGGTGATACTTTTGGTTTGATGAGTCAGAATGGACCATACACCTTCTCAGGCACAGATATTTTTGCACCCTTTTCAACCCCGGAAATGTCTTTATTCAATGATTGCCCAGGATTGAGGATTCGGTGAAAGGAAGATCCTCACAGCTTTCCCCTACATCCTTGTGGCACCCTGATTGGAACCAATAGACCTTCACAAAACATTGCTTAGGTTCTTGGGATTGAGTAAATTTTTATTTTTTATTCCAGCATAGTTGAGACCAAAGTTATGCTAAAATGGAATTTCCAGATACAAAGAAATCAGCTATTTACCTCTTAAGCCTTTAGGGAAAAAAGTTCATTTGATTTGAATAATGAGAGATTAGACGTGTCAATGTTGCTCCATTTTTACTTTATTAATGATTTAATATATCTACAAAGACTCAATAAATTACAGAAAGGTCTTATTATGACCATTCAGACTATTTTTGTTTGTCAGGTACTTTTTCATAGACTAATATGGGTTCTAAAAAAATATCACATTAAAATAAATCCTCAATCTTTGTTTTTTTTATTCTCTTCTCCCTTAACAGAGCAATAGAAAGTTATTTCCTCTTAACAAATACCTTCTTTTTAAAGCAGTATGTTTCTATGAAATATTTACACATGGTATGAATACAAGTGGATTAAAATTTTAAAATATGAAAATTGAGTCCATCCTCTATAACATAAGACTCTCCTAGGACCTGGACAAGCAGTTTTAGAAATGAATTGAGAATTCCTTACCATCTTCCTAGCAGTGATCATTATTCATCCAAGATGACTGTTTCTTCAAATACGTGTATATAGAATGTGTATTTTCAGAATGTTGCCTAGTAAAAATGAATAAAGCAAGCATAATCACATTTTAAAAAAGAATCTCTAGCATTTGCCAGGCAGACAAGTTTATTCACAACTGGCATTTGCAAGTGTATAGGGAATTCATGTTCTTACCCTAGTCATCAAGATCCACCCTGTACAGTATCAGACCTTTTCCAATGCCTTCTCCATTAGTGGTTCCCCAGAGACCTCATGAAACCTGCCCCAGAGCAGAATCTGCAGTTTCCCTGGGGAAAACCCACCAGTAGATTCACATTTCCCCAGTGCTCCTGGCTACCTGATCACACAGAGGCAGCACGAAGGTGATCCTCTCGTAGGAAGCCCCCCTAGTTACTGGGTCAACTTGTTGCTTCCTCTGTAGTGATGTGTACCCAATTCACGTCTACACCTTCACCTCTCTTCTGAGCCCACCCCCCCTCACTTCAGACCAACTGCCTGCAGGATGTTGCCAAATTGGAGACTTCACACCATGCTAAAACTCAACGCATCCCTTTCCTCTACCACCAAACCCACTCTAGGGTTCCACATCTCACCATCCACAGAACTGTCCAAGGCCAGAAACCTAAGATTCAATAGGGGAGACCAACTGTCCTGATTTCCTCAGGACTTGCCCTGGTTTCATACTGAAAGTCCTGGGAATTCCATTCCAGACACACTGGGACAGTTGGTCCTCCTTGAGTTGAAGGACATGCTGTGTTCTCCTTACACCATGTGCAGTCTATCTCCAAGTCCTCTCGACCCAATCTCCTTTAAAGATCTCCCATTTCAGTCAGTGCTATGCGGCTTTCATTTTATACCTGGGCAGTCAGAATAGCCTCTGCCCGGGAACCAGCAGTTAGCGTAATGGCTATGTCGCTGGACTCCCCCGTAGTCGACCGCAGTTCGCGTCCTGGACCCGGTGGCTTAAACTCACGCTGGGCGCGTGTGTGTACATGCCCAAGATCCCAAGAGGAGAATGGGGGAGAAGGGATTGCGGCGTGACCATCCCCCCTGGGAGGTGATTTCTCGCTTTCTGTCTCTATGTCTCTGTCTGTCTGGCGAGCACACGCGCCCTATAGTGAATACCTCTCCAAAAAAAAACAAAAAAGAATAGCCTCTGCCACCTCATTGCCCCACTGTCCCCACTGCAACCAGAGGACCTCTCCAGAAAGGGAATCCAACCATCCATCAGTCAGTCAATCAATCAATCAATCAATCTCTCTCTCTTTAACTCTCTCTCTTTCTCTCTCTCTCTCTCTCTCTCTTCTCTCTCTCTCTCTCTCTCTCTCACACACACACACACACACACACACACCCCACTGTAACTTCAAAAATCCTTTTGTTGGGTCCACTTTGACTTCAGGGTTAACAACTAAATGCCACAGCATGTCATTTGAGGCCCCTCATTATCTGATCCCTGCCCACATCTCTCACTGCTTTATTTTTTCTTCCTTTTTTGTTTGTTTGTTTGTTTATGGGTTTGCTATGTAATAAAGAGCATGGCACAGGATACTAATAAACAGCCATTTGAAGGGGTACAGGGTGAGGTCCAAAAGTAGCCCGCGGACAGGAGCTTCAGCTCCCATGGCTGTGGTGCACCAGCCTCCTGACACACAGATGAATTCACCAACCCTGAAGTGC